TGAGTGGTTCCTGAAAATTGTTCGAGTGCTATGCGACTTCACCTTTGGAAAAGCACTACGCAACTTGAGATGTTTTCATCTCGATGTTTGCGATGACAAAAGATACTTATATGAATGGATATGTATCTTCTACACAGAAAGATTTGATGGCATTTTCAACCGGGAATATACAAATGACAAGCCAATGTCTATATTAACTCGTCGCGCTGATGGACTGCGCACCTGCCTCTCCATCAAAGTGCGAGTTCAATCGCACTTCTGGTGTGAGCCCTGAGCAATTCCCTCGCACTTTGCTTCATGTCAAGGAGSGGATCGAACGCACCGCCGGTAAGCACCTGCGCATCACGAAACAAGAGCATGACCCAATCGGAACATCGTGGGGTTCTTGCGATGTTGACTCCCACATGATGACTACACTGAACAGCGGCAGCATGATCCGGTCCGCCTCTCCGATGTGGATCTAACGGTGGATTGCGTCAAATCCGCTCTCATAGATCCACGCCGGGGATGGGGGCCGAGATCCGACCACAGTTTGCTTGTAAGGCATCATATGATGTGTCGATATAACCGACATCTAGAACTGCTTGGTGACCATCTAGTGCTACGCCAATAAGTTCCGAACAAGGTCGCAAGGTCCCCTAAGAATGTTCATTGTCGGTTCCTCACATCGTCGATTCMCACGTGATAAGTTTAGTAAACAGCGGCAGGATGGCAGGTCCCCCTCGCCGGAATGGATCTAACGGTGGATTGCGTTAAATCTGCTCTCAAARATCCACACCGGGTAGAAGGTCTTGGAATCAACCACTGCTTGCTTGTAAGCATTAAATGATGTGTCCATACAATCGACATCCGAAACTTTTTTGTGAGCATCTAGTTCTACGCCAATATGTTCTGAACACRACCGCAAGGTCCCCTAAGAATGCTTTCAGCACTGGAGTCCTCTGACTGCCGACTGTTTGAAACTTTATGAAGGTGCTCATTTCTACCGATGCAGAAGGCTCGTGATYACTTCCATTACTTGTATACATGTCGATGGGTGCTCGACGTTGCATACATGTAGTACTGTTGGCCCCCGCTGGATATATTAGCGTCTCAGATGCATCCCACAGAAAAACCCCACACGCTGCGGACATGCAAATTCCCTTAATGGCAGTCCGCACCGACAACTGATAATGTGCAGGAAACAAATACACACCCATCACCAACGACTGTTTGACACTTCTTGAAGGTGGTCTGCCACTTCTTAMAGGTGACCAGTCACCAAACAGATCACAACCTGACATCAATCTCGCATTGATGTTCCCGTCTGAGTGCAAATGGCAATCCGGGAAGAAGGTCAATGAGTGTTTGACACTTCCTTAAGGTGCTCTGTCGAACACCGATATTTGCGAATTGATTGTTGTTCAACTAGAGTCTCTCTCTCTCTCTCTCTCTCTCTCTCTCTCTCTCTCTCTCTCTCTCTCTCTCTCTCTCTCTCTCT